AGGAATTTGGTGATTTTGTTCTTTTTCAATAGTGAATTTAATTGTTGGTTCTTTATTATTCAGATAACATAAAAATTCATCAAGTTTTTGTTCGCTATGACTGTAAATGGATAAACGTCATCAATATAACGCCACCAAATTATTGGTTTAAATTTGTAATTATTAACGAAAATCGATTCAAAATTTTTCTGAGTTAGTATATCGAGAAAAGGAATTTGGTGAAATTATTGATTATAATTATTATTACAATTCATTTATTGATATTGCAGATCTTCAAGGAAGCACAGCTACACTTACCGTCACAGCGACGGACAGCGGCGATCCTCCGAAGAAAACCAGCGTTCCCGTCACTGTCCATTTTCCCGGCTTCACTGGAGTTGCTGCGGCCGGGACTGCAGCCAGCAAAAGCTCGGGCAGCGGCCCGATTCTACTGGCAGGCCTTGGAGTGGTTCTGCTCCTTCTGAGCTTAGTGGTCGCCGTCTTAGTCGCATACATTTACAAAGTGTAGGTCGTTTGAATTTGAGTGAAAATCTACGTGATAAGATTTGGGTTGTTTCCTTTTTAGAAAACGAAAAAGCAATGCTGAGCAAAGTGGCGACGTGAAGGACAAGGCCCTGCTGAAAAGCCACATCAGCAACCCGATGTTTAGCACTGATAAAATGCGTCCCGGGACAGCAGTTGCGCTAGGTGGAATACCTAGTGAAGCTAGTAAATCAAGAGTACCCAGTCCGAAGGTACATCCGGCTCCTCAACCTCCTGCAACGGACCTTTGGACTTCAACAGCGGGCCGAGTTAAGAAGCTAAGCTGGGGAGACAAGGTGCTAAATTGTTTCAATCTGTCCAAAGTCGGCACATTATATTGTTAATATTTTATTACCTGATTGAACACCCATCGATTAAGTGACTGCTTTAATGCTCTTTTCGTGGTTCTTTATAGAAGACACTCAAATTTTGTTTTCATTTCTGAGTTTTGCATTAAAATTGCCATAATTTGTTATCCGCCGTAATCGACGGTTTGTTGCATCATTTACTGGTAATTTACTTTTTTTCGGCAAATGTGCATTGCATTGCATTTTCTACGAATTACCAAATATTTTATTTTAATAGTATTAAGCGAATTTAAATAGATCTTAACAGTAATAAAAAGAAACCCCCATTTCTTCCTCAAAAAGCCGAAAAATAATCGGATTGCGGGCATACTTTTCGTACAAAAATCTAAACTGCCGACTGATGATTTAGACGCATTCAAACTATTTCATACTGACGCGACCCCCTGTATATAGTCAGTCAATTCAAGGCTTATCACCTCAATTTGATGCGGATCCATTTATGAAAACCGTAATATTCTCTACTATTTTTTAGAAAGTGTTTTTTTTTTCAGTCACACTCATTTTCTGTTTTTAAATTCTTTAATTGCGTTACTTTTCGTCTTTTCATGCAAAGCAGAAAAGATAAATTGCAAATTCGACACCATTTTCTCGGCAGTTAAAATTGATTGTTTTTTTTGCAGACTGAACCAGGAAGCGTCGAAGATCTAGAAGAGTTGGATACCATTCCGAAAGTTTTAGAGAGTAACAATCTCACTGTATATTTTTAGAAACTCTTATATACTTTAAATGTGTGCGAAAGCAAACCTAGTTTTATCAAATTTGTATTAGTTGCGTTCCTCAATTTAAATAATAAATTGCGAAGGGTGTCCATCCGCGTTTTTTTGTCCTTCAAAATCAATTTTAGCACAAGAAAAACTGAAAAAGTGCCGCTTTTTCAGTTAAATTTTCCCTCTAATTGAATTAAATCTATTTAATAAAAAAAACTGGCGACAAGACATTATAGACACCCTGCAAAATAGCTTCTAATGTGTACGTATACTTGTAAGGGCCGGCAGATGCATACAATATAGTTAGTTTAATCAATGCTGTTATATTATTCTGTAATTATAACTAAGTGGATTGTGTTAAAATTGGTAATAAATATTTATTTCTTCTTAATGGCCCGGATATTAATTAATGCTGATGACCTCTTGCTGATTTTCATGCATATTAGATGAACCGTTAATGTTTAGAGGCATAAACCCGGGGCCTTAATAAGTCAAATTAAAAAATCAGTGAATGCAATAATTTGCCAAGTACACTGGGTGTATATTTCATACAGTCAGCACAGAAAACTACTAATATCGTCAAAACAGATTCAAAATAGTGTGTAGTAAAAATGTTAAAACATCTACAACCCAATAATCAATCACAAGAACTCATACTAAAGTACTTTCTCTCATAACGGAATTTCTTTGCACTTGAATGTAGGTCAAGGAACGTTTACAAACTGTATTTTAATCATTGGCTTCATACTAGGAATTTTGGCGAAAAACAGTATTTTCCCCGTTATTGCATAACACGCTCAATTATTAAAACAGTCTTAAACTAAACACGGTTGGCAAAAATGCACCTAAAGCTTTTAGCGATCCGATGCGAAAGTCGAGAAGAAGCACCCACAATGTGAGAGTTATTCTTCCGAAGAAAACGGATTAGCGCGCGTGTAGTTCCGTGTCCAGCTCGTCTTCTCATTTAAATATGTTCAAGCGTCGCGTTTGTCTTTTTGCGCTATTCGTGCTGTTTTGTGAAAATTACTGCAACGCTATTTACCTGACCAATACAAGTCATGTAAAAAGAAGCGACAACCCGGCCGTGTGGACTGAAGAGGGCCTTTGGGGCCCCTTGCTAGAAGAATGGGCCTTGGGAAGTCAAAATCACAGGTAAAATTGTGTTAATCACAGGAAAAGGTGGGAAGAACTTTGAATATGGATTGTTGATGAAACGAGTTTTCAAGAATGTGATTTCATGCTGGAAATGAATGATTATTTGAACATAAAGCAAAAACAGGGGGTTTAAACGAAATGAGAAAAACGCGATTAAAAATGTTTTCGATTTTAGAGAAAGCAGAGTAATGCAAATCCCGATCTCCCAACACGCTTACGTTGTCCAAGAGCGCGCTGATATTGAGGTGCAAGAAGGGAAAATTGGGAATGGAAAAATCATCACAACTACCAAGCCCAGTAACAGCTACAGGCCATCATCAGGCAACAAGCCGCCACCACGCCAGGTGTCCGAAACGGATCTTTACTTATTGGGGGCAATAGAGAAGTTGGTGTACAAAGTGGATTTTATGGAAAAGCGTCTAAGGCGCGTGGAAGAAATGCTGTACTATGTGATGGCTGGTAACAGAGTTGATGTTGGTAAGAGATTAACAGGGAAAACCCACCTCGAATGCATATTTATAAATAAATAAACAAGTAATTTATCTGCTCTAGAACCATGCGCGGATAATTTCACAAGAGTAGCGCAAAATTGCTACATGTTTGCTAGCATGGCTGGCAGAGAATACGACTGGAAAGTGGCCAGTAAGCATTGCAAAAAAATGGGAGCAGTCCTGGCCGAAATGGAGTCCATCGAAGAAAACCAAGACCTCATCGCCCATATACAGAACGATGCCCATCTTAAGGGTGTGTTTCTCGCGAAGAAACTTTCGAAACTACTCACTCATTTGATTGCAGGCAAAGACTTTTGGGTGGGCGGCCTCAATCCAGGCCTGCTATGGATCTGGAGCAACACTGCCAGGCCCATTGTGGCCCCTGGATCGCAAAACAACAAAGAAAACCCTTCATCTGCGATTCAAGGGTCGGGCCGGTGTCTTCGACTAGCCTACAATCCGGCACTTCGATCTTACGCTTACAAGGGAACAGACTGTTCAGTTCGATACAGTTACATATGCGAAGCGCCTGAAGAAACATCGAGCAATGAAATCCAAAGGATTGGTAGAAGCAGGAAAATCTTCGACGAGCTGTAAAGGATTGAATTGTTAGTGGGCTATTTATTCGTGTATTTTATATTCAAATATCACTAGAGTTGTATCGACTTTTAGTCCTCACTTTGCTAATAATAAAGGCAATTGCCAATAACTATTATTGATTAAACTGGTTTTTTTACTTTCATTACCTTGATAGTTAGGGAAGGAAAACCTTTAAACAGTTTCAAAAACACATCTATTGAATCAAATAAATCCAGTTCAGTCTGAAGATTTCCCAAACTTTTCGAATCGACACACTGAAATGTACATTTGGAAAAACAATCAATTCATCGGCAACTCACTGAACTGTTTCAATGTATCCAAGTCTTTCATTAGTAACTGTAAGGTCTGTCTTGTTTTCGGATATTTTTCCTCCACCTCGATGCTCAGGCCCTGCTCCAGATCATCCAGCTGCTTTTCAAAATAGTCCAACCGCTCATCCACCAGCGATTCCGCATCAGAAATGTGCTCCAGCAGGTTCAACCTGCAGTCAGCTGAATCGATGGCTGCTTTGGGCCGCGGTATAATCGGGGCCGAATTGCTATTGATATTCAGCATCGGTATCTCTTCTTTGCTGCCCTTCAGGATCATCATTAGCATGTTATGATTGGGAGATTCTTCTTTGGTCAATTCAATTTCGTTTTTCACGTACTGGTGCTCGGGACTGTCCAGCGATGCCTTCCTGTCGCCGTTTTGCTCTTTGCTATCGGGCTTCTCCTGCAGTTTTGGTTTGTCCCATGGTTTCGACCACAAGTATAGTTTAGGATGGTTTTTTACTCTATAAATTGGTGAGACAATATCTTTAGTGGGTCCAAGTGTCTTTTAGATATAAAAAAAGAGCTTTTCTGGGTAAAACAGTTCGATTTTGGACGTGCTTTTAAAGCAAAGAACTTCAACTTCAAATACTTTTTGTTTGTCGGTATAGCTACAGTTATTCAGGTTATACGACACGAAAGATTGCTGCAAGACTATTCGATTTTTTGGATAAGGAGAGGTCATCTGGGGGTACATTTGAATACCCAGTACGTTATTGTACGATAAGGATTTACGATAAAAAATAAATGTCTTCTATTGCGGTTTATCTTGCTTAAAGCTTGCGGTGTCTGAGATATTTGGCGCTTTGGCCAATCAAAATTGGGATCTTTTGCTAAACCTTAGATTCCCAATGTTTATTGAGAATAT